CACTGATTTTTTTTTTTTTTGTTGCCTATTTTCTTCCTCTGTTTTGACGCATAATTGTCCAGTAGTGATTACAACCTAGTTTTGCAAGGGGAGTTTTTTTTTTCATCACAAAAAACTCCTTCAGGACTTTTTATGTGTGTTGATACTGGATTGAAAAAACCATCCGGTTTTCTCTCTGTCTACAATAAAAGTACAGTCAAAGTGTAGCAGCTACAGTAACTGCGCTTTTACTGTAGACAGAGAGAAAATCGGACGGTTCTATTCCGTCCAGTGTGCGCACACAATAATCTCTCTTACTTGTGATTTTTTTTAAAAATGCAACCAAGGATTTAATGAGACTATTCATGCTAAGTTACCCTCAATTTTAGCTTGAGTTTGACTAATTAATTAAGTTTAAATTTGAGCTTGCGCTCATTTGAATTTGAGTCAGCTCATTAACTGACACATTTATTATGAAAAATAGAACAACAAAAATAACAACATCAAGCTTTTATCCCGATATGTGGGGTCGGCTATATGAGTCTTTTTTCATCATTGTGTCCGGTTAAGAGGCAAATTTTCATTTTCTAATCAAATCCTTTTAGGTTTACTTCTACCTTTCTTAACCTAAGTTAAATCTAATATATCTACTCTTCTAACCGGATCATCGGAAGACCCCCGTTTTATGTGACCTTAAAATGGTGAACTTCATCCATTGTTTTAAAAAAAAAAGCTTTTACTCAATTCCAAAAATGAGTTAAAAACTAAAAGCTCTAAAAATTTTCCCTTGAACAGGTTTTTGAGGGTGAGAGGAGTCTCACTAAGGACTGCAGGAGTCTTGGAAAGTTTGATCTCAGTGGAATCCCACCTGCACCCAGGTTCATTTCTTGAAACCTTTCTGCAATTTCAGCAACTTAGGCTTCGTTTGTGTTGACTTTTTTACTGTTTCTTAAAGCAATAAAGCCGAAGCCTTAGTTTACAATCGTCCTAATGAATAAAACATATCTTCTGCTGCAACAGAGGTACTCCTCAAATAGAAGTCACATTCGAGGTCGACGCTAATGGCATCCTCAACGTTAAGGCTGAGGACAAAGGCACCGGCCGATCGGAGAAGATCACCATCACCAACGACAAAGGCCGTCTCAGCCAAGAAGAGATTGAACGAATGGTTAAGGAAGCCGAGGAGTTCGCCGAGGAAGACAAGAAGGTGAAAGACAGGATTGATGCCAGGAACCAACTGGAGACCTATGTGTACAACATGAAGAACACCATTAACGACAAGGATAAGCTCGCCGACAAAATCGAGAGCGAGGAGAAGGAGAATATCGACGCCGCTCTGAAGGAGGCGTTGGAATGGCTCGACGATAATCAGAGCGCGGAGAAAGAGGATTTCGACGAGAAGTTGAAGGAGTTGGAGGCGGTTTGTAATCCGATAATCTCTAAGGTTTATCAGAGGTCCGGCGGTGCTCCTGGTGGCGGTGGCGAAGATAGCGGTGGCGATGATGACGATGATTCTCATGATGAGCTTTGAGCTTCTGAGAAAGTGCTTTTGATGATGGAAAGGAGACAATCTTAGCTTTTGATTTTGTTTGTCTCTTTGATTTTGGATAGATGAGGATGAATGGGGAGAGAATGGACTGATGACTTACCTGCAGCGTGATGGATGTTAGTTGCTCGAAAAGAGTTTTTTTTTTTTCAGAACAATTTCTTCTACGCTTAGTTTTTTTTGTATTAATGATATTTCTGTAATTGTTTCTGGCATTATGATGAAGCTGGAAAGCCGTAATCATTATCTTATATTACAGAGTTTTGATTTTGCGAATAAATTTATTTAGTTCTGTATTTTTTTTTTTTTTTTGAGGAATGGGTGGGAGGGTGCTTGGTGCCGTGAGTAATACTCGGCTGATCTAAAAGAAGCACACATTTTAGAAACCTATTAGCATTTAATTGGGCTCCACTAAAGAGGCGCTGCCGCTTGAGGGGATTCGATCATGAATTGGGGGTTTTTAACCGCACTTGCCCACCAACAAGCTAAGCAACAGTGAGTTTAG